CTCCAGCCACAGGCACCCCGTGGGGGTCCTGTCTGCCCAGAGAGGGCTGGGTGGCCTGGCCTGGGACGGGCTGGGAGGAGGCTTGGCCTGGGAGGAGCTTGGAGGCCTGGTCTGGGGAGGGGGCTGGGAGGCCTGTCTGGGAGGGGCTGGCGTGGCCTGGCTGGGGAGAGGTGAGGTGGGGCCCTAGAGCGGGATGCCCGCCCAGCAGGCTGGAGAGGTGCCAGAGGTCCCGGCAAGACAAAGCCTAGCCTGGCCCAGCCCGCCTCCCAGAGAAGGGGAGCCTAGGGCACTGTGGAGCCATCCCGGGAGGAAGGGGCAGTGGTTTCCCGGGGAAAGGGAAGGCTACAGGTAAGAAGGTGCCATGGCTCCGGCCTGGATGGGCGGCCCAGCCTGGTGTGCCCTCTCTAGCTCCAGTGCCCCCGCTAGCTCCTGGCAGTCCAGAGGCCCAGGGGTCCCTGGGTCATCAGAAGCCTCTGGAGCCCAGAGTCCAAACTGGTAGGCAGGAGGCCCCTGGCTGGCCTGGGCTCCCAGCAGGAGCGGGGACAAGGGCCCTGATGGCCTCTCCATCCAGAATCAGGGAGCAGGGTCGGATCTGCCCAGTGCCCAAGAAGGCCACAGACCCTGCGTGAGATGAGGGAAAAGCTCTTGGTCCAGGGAGGGCCAGCAGGGCAGGGACATCCTGTGTCCCAAGGGGCAGGGACCGGCTGGTCTGAGGGCCTGGTGACCCCACCCCGGCCAGATTTCCTGTCCTCCAGAGGGCCTGACTGCAGGCTCAGAGCATCGCTCAGGGGTCATGGTCCCCACAAGGTCCACCCTGACCAGCCCCGCACTGGGCTTCCTGCAGGCCCCGAGAATCGTCATCCGAGCACAGGCTCAGAGCGGCCCTGGCCCAGGGTGACTGGGAGGTGACCCCAGAACACTTCTCTCTCCCCCAGCGACAGAGGTGGGCTGGGACTGGGGGGTCTCCGTGTCCCAGGGTTATTGGGAGGTGATGGGTCTCGACCCCATTCTAATCCACATCCCCCCATCAGTCCCTTCTCTATACCATTCCCCCGGGGCCCATCTCAGACGCCGCAATCTGCTCTCCATAAAGGAGCTGGAGGAAGCTTTTTAAATGCGATGTCCTTGTTCTACCTCTGGGCCCAGCGATTGCTCTGGGCATGGATTTGGAATCCTCCTGACCTGCACGTCTGGCCTCAGCACGCCCTCCCGCCTCCTCCTCTGGGCCTTGCCCCTCCCCCTGCCCTGTCTCCTTGTGCCCGGAACAAGCCTCACTGCTTCTGACCCCAGGACCTGGGCACGTGCTGCCTCCTGTGCCAGGAACCCGTCCCTGCGTAGCTGAGCTGACTTGATCTCGGTTCTCGGTTCTCACGACGAGCCGCATCCATCCGGGCAGACTCCCCACTCGTACGCCTGTCATTCCCGCCTCTCCCTGAGCCCTCGTCTGCATCCCACACTGGTGGCACCGGCCTTGTTGTCTGTCCCTCTCCGCCTCCGACAGGAGGGCCAGCTCCGCGCTGGTTCTGCGCTTCCAGACCACCCACAGTCCGTGAGGCCCGCAGCTCTGCGCTGGGTCTGCGGGGGCCCGCCTTGGGTCTTGGAGGGGAGGCCAGGCCAGGCTTCCTGGTCCGGCTAGGCCTGGGGTGCGCGGGGGTCGGGAGAGGCCAGGTCGGCTTGGTGTGAGAAGCTCCTTGTGAGGGCCATCGCTGGGCTGGAGCCCGGGGGTCCCATGCGTGGCGAGGTCAGGGGCACACATCAAGGCTCATCTGCGGGGGCGGTTCTCGTGTCTGAAGCCTCCCGGTCCAGGCACCGGTCCCAGGACAGAAGGGACACTGTGTTCTGGCCTGTGAGAGGGGGCTCAGACTTTCCGTGTGAAAGCCTTTCCCTCGGTCGGCTTGGGTCTGTGGCACAGAACACCGTGGACGGGGAGGCCTCAGAAACAGGAGTTTGCTTCTCACAGGTCTGGAGACTGGGAAGTCAAGGCCAAGTACAGCAGATTCAGTAGCAGGTTCAGTTCCCTGGTGAGGGTCCTCAGCCCAGAGTGCAGATGGCCGCCTTCTCGCTGTGTCCTCCTGTGACTGAGAGAGAGAGACAGAGACAGAGAAAGGAGGGAGAAAGAGATGGGGAGAGAGAAAGGGACAAAGAGGCAGAGAGAGACAAAGAAACAGAATGAGAGAGAGGAAGAAGAGAAAGGAGGAGGAAGGGAAGGAGGGGAAGTCAGTTCTCTGGTGTCTCTCGCTACGGGGACACTAATCCCATCACGAGGGTCCCACCCTGGTGAACTCCCCTCACCCTGATAACCTGCAAAGGCCCCTCTCCAGGCTGAGGATGGTTGGCTTCAGCGGGGCTCGTCTTCTGCGGTGGCCAAGCTGGCAGGCTGCCCTCGTCTCCCACGGGCCGGCACCCCCAGGCTCTGAAGCTGGCAGGGTCACCCGGCGCCAGATACGCCTGCAAGCCAGCCCCCAGCTATCCTGCCCACGTGCCCCCGGGGTGCAGGGACGAGGCAGCTCCAACACAGCGTGGGGAGCTGGGCCACCCTCTCAGGCCTACCTGCACCTCTGAAGCCATGGGAGCTGCCCCACACCCTCCCTCTGGGCCCAGTCACCCGGCTCCGGCTACTTGGCTTTCCTTCTCAGCTCTCAGGTTGTTCTGTGCTCAGTGCTTCCCCAACCCCAACTCCCGGCCTGGCTTGGGGACCAGGGGTGGAGGGATGAGGAGAAGCCGGGCCCTTCACCCTCGGCCGCCTCCTCTCCTTTGCCTTCCCTGCCCGCTGCGGGGGGGGGTCTTCCTTCCGTCAAGGCCGCCTTCATTTCCACAATGTGACTTTCAGTCACATCTGTGAGCCAGACTGGCCGGGCTCTGTTCCTGGTGACAAAGCAGGGCACTGGAGAAGTAAAAACCCCTTTCTCTCTTAAGAAAAACTGGACTCCCCCTCCACCCTAGAGGGTCTCAATCTGTTGTGCAGTGATGTAATAATCATCGTTGATTGCAGCCTTGAGCTCCCTGGCTCAAGTGATCCTCCACCTCGGCCTCCTGAGGAGCTGGGACTACAAGTGTGCACCACCATGCCTGGCTAATTTTTAATCTTTATTTTTGTAAAGACAAGGTCTCACTCTGCTGCCCAGGCGGAGCTCCTGGACTCAAGCAGACCTCTCGTCTTGGCCTCCCAAGGTGCTAGGATTATAGGCGAGAGCCACGGCACTCAGCCAAAAAACTGGCTAGTGGCCCAGCATAAACTAAAACACCTAGTTTGACCCTCACAGCTGAGCAAGGACCTCTGGGGCTCAGAGGCATGCGCCAGCTGGCACCCCAGAGGAGGGTCCAGGCAGCATGGCAGGCTTTGAGGAGAAACCATGTTCCCCGTTGCCACTTGTCCTTCCCCGCACGTCTGGGGAGCTTGTCTCACGCTGGCCTTATGGGGCAGGGACTGGGCCCTTCGGCTCGCAGAGCAAGGGTAGGTGCCCAGCGAGTGGGTGGAGACCCAGGGCCCTGGGCGTCCTCCCAGGAGCCTCCGGTGTTGGGGCGGGCCCCTGGGATCTGGAGGCTGGCCCTGGTGCCCTACGTCCACCCTGCCCAGGCAGCAGGTGCAGGGTGCTCACCCACCTGTCCAAGTCCACGGCACGGTGAAGGGAGGCCGTCGGCTACCCCTCTCCCACAGGAAAGCGAGCCGGGGTAGGGGCATTACCCAGTGACAGTCAGAGTTCGGTTTACTGGGCCGGGGTTCCTGGAGGGCTCTCAGGGGGCTGCATGTCCAAACTCTGCCTTCTGACTGGTACCGACTTTAGTCACCACAACGGCGACCGGAATCCTGGCTCCTGCGTGGCTGTCCCCAGTGCACCCATCAGAAGGTTTTCCAGCTAATTCAGGCTTCCTGGGGCATCTTCTGAGACTGATCAGAAGGCTCTGAAATGGGGGTGCGAGGAGGGTGGGTGCCCGCTGCAGGGAGGCCCGGCCAGCAGCCTCGGGTCCACTTGGCACACAGGGCGTGGCAGGCAGCCCCCACCTCTCTGTGCCCTGACGGCACCATGCATTGAATCCATCACGAGTGCTTCTTGAGCACCTGCCGGGGCTGCCCTGCCCGGGTCTGGCGTCCGAGGGGGAGGTGCTGGGGTGGCCCACAGGCTGGAGGAGGGGCAGGTGGGACCAGGAGGCAAAGCTGGCCAGAGGGAGGAGGGTTTGCTCAAGGGATGGAGGAGAGGACCGGGCCCTGAGCATGTGAGGTGGAAGCTGGGCGTCTGGGGGAAAGAAACCCCACCAGCCTGAGCCTGGCTCAGCCTGTTTCTGGAAGGCCATGTTGGCTGTGTGTGGGAGGGGAGTCATCCCTTCTTTTGTGCCATGGGCCCCTTTGACATCTAGGGAGACCATGGGCACCTGCTCGGAACCATATTTTCAATGTGAAAATAAAATGCAGAAGAATGGAGTCGTGGTGAACACAGGAAGGCCGTCCCGTGCGTGGTAGCCTTCAAGCAGAGCAGGGAGGGCCCTTGGTGGTGCAGTGACATCTGTGCTCTCGAGACCCTGGAAATCAGATGTGGTGGCGGGTCTAGAAGGACCCCCACCTCCGAGTAGCAACACACTCAGGGGACCCCCTCAACCACCAGCAGCAGCTGTGAGTGACGTCCAGGGACAGTCCTGGCACGGGTGTGAGGGGTTACTGGGTTTGCTGCCACATTCCTCCCATCCTGGGAGAAAAAGCCACACTTCGGTTAGAGGCCACAGCAGACACAGGGTCCGTTTCCCCACCCAAGTTCAAGTCCCAGATGAGGAAAATCCCCGGACTGGCAGGCCGGCTGGCAGGAGGGGGCTGCAGGCACCGAGGCAGGGGGTGCTGCCGCCAGGACCCGGGGCGGTAGAGGGACGGACCAAGAGGCAGTTCCGAGGCACCGGGGATCCCTGGGTGCTAAGTGGAGGAGGGGGCGGGGGAGGAGTGGGGGCCGGCTGGGTGCTGAGCCCACGGGCCAGGCCGCAGTGGGTCCTGAGGCCTTTCCGCTGTCTCCCAGGTCAACGAGATCTATCACGACGAGTCCCTGGGCGCCCACATCAATGTCGTCCTGGTGCGGATCATCCTGCTGAGCTACGGGAAGGTGAGTGAGCCCCATGGACCGGGCCGGGTCTGCCCCCCATGCCAGAGTCCCCCCCCTTGGAATGCATGGGGCCTGAGAGTGAGGCAGGGCCTCCGTTGAAAGTGTCTGTGTTTGCCAAGGACACCCTGCCTGTGGTTCCTGTAAGAAACAAGAAGCTTGGAGCCACCCGAGATCCCCGAGCCCTAGCCCTGTCACCTGCACCCCTTGTTTGAAAATGTGGGCTTTAGCTGGGCTCGGTGGCTCAGCCTGTAATCCCACGCCTTTGGGAGGCTGAGGTGAGTGGATTGCCTGAGCCCGCGGGTTCGAGACCCACCTGGGCAGTGAGACCTCATCTCTATAATAAATTTAAAAAAAAATCAGCCAGGCATGGTAGCACGCGCCTATAATTCTGGCTACTCGGAAGGCTGAGGCGGAAGGATCGCCGGAGCCCAGCAGGTTGAGGCTGCGGTGGCCGGGAGCGGCCACTGCACTCCAGTCTGGGCGACAGAGTGAGACTCCAACTCAAAAAAAAAAAAGAAAAGAAAATGTGGGTTTTATTATTATTCAGGAGCAGTGGGGCCAACAGCTCAGGCGGCGATGACCATCGAAGAGTTTATTATCCACAGATCCCACGAGGAGGGCGGCCGGCGGCCGTGCCACATGGAAGACCACCAGGGCCATGGGAGGTGGGGGAGAGAGCCTTTGCTGTGGTTTCTGCAGGAAGGACAGGGAGGTGGGGAAGCTGGCTTGGGAATGGCCCGTTGGGATCATTTCAGTGGACTCTGGGGTTTGGGGCTGTCCTGAGCTGTCTGGTGCTCACCCTGCAGTTGTGAGGCCCCAGGGGAGTGGCCTGGAGTGCAGAGTTTGATGGAGGAGGAGGCTGAGGATGTGGGCTCCGGACTGGTTAGTTTGCATCTGAAAAATGTGCTTGCGGACAAGCGGTTTTCTGTCTCCAGGAGCCGGCCAGTGCTGGGAAGGGCAGCCCCTCCAGGGTCAGCAAGGACCCAGAGGTCACAGCCTCAGAAGTGCATGGTTAATGGCCCTCCCCTCGACTCCAGCCCACCTCTTCAACCCATGCCCTCCTCTCCCTTGGTCTCGGGGCTGCTGTCCCCGCCGGGCCTTCCTGCCCTTCTGCCCCCTCTTGCGGTCACACTGGAACCCTCTTTCCTAGCAACGCACGGGGGTGTGTGCGTGCACCCCTGGGCAGAAAACCACCAGGGACAGTGAGGTGGGACAGAAAGGGGATGCCACACAGAGGAAGGGAGGAGCTCCAGAGCGTGGCCTGTGGACTGAACAAGCACCCATGCCAGCATCGCGCGCCGATGAGAACACTTAACCCACAGGCAGGTGGGAGTGCACACTCTAAGGGTACCACTTTCACAGGTAAGGATGCAGACGCTCAATGTGACTCAGTGATGTGCCCAGGAAGTGCCCGAGTCATCTGGCTCCTGAGGGGTCCGTCTTCCCGCTCAGGCAGCCCGATCCCGGGATCTGTAGTCTGACTGCACTCAGCCAGCACGTGGAACAGCAGATTGTCACAAGATCAGACACATCCGACATGGCAACTACAGGGTTGGGTCAAACACAGAGACGCTCAGCCTCAAAAATAACATCAAACTGACAGCACAGGACTCACGTGTCTGAGTGAATCGCAGAAAAAGTGGACTCTCCCCACACCCACCAAGCCTATCACTCTGTAGTGACTGAGGGCGGCCACAAGGAGGGTCCCAGCCTTGGACCCTTATACTCCCCAAGAGAACATAAGATATCCCAAAGCAAATTGTTAGAACACAGGAGAAAGTGGCAAAAACCTTGCTTGGAGAGTCATTCATACTCTGTAAAGCCTTTAACATATCTGATGTCAAAGGTGTAGAAGTTTTGAGGAATCATAGGACACTTAAGAACTACAAAAACACTTCAGTTCATAAAGAAATTGTCAGCATATTTGCTACAGCAAAAATTATTGAGGTTATATTCTCTGATTAAGCGCCCTAAAATTGGAGTTGAGAGGGAAATTTATGGATCTAAAAAATCCAATCCATTTGAAAATGTAAAATAAAACTTAGTAGGAAGGAGACTATTAAGACTGCAATTGCAGACTATTTGGAAAACTAATAAAACCAAGAACACTATATATCAACAATTGTAGGCCGGGCTCTGTGGCTCAGCCTATAATCCCAGCACTTTGGGAGGCTGAGGTGAGAGGATTGCCTGAGCCCACGGGTTCAAGACCAGCCCAGGCAACTTGGCAAGACCTCGTCTCTACAATAAATAAAAAATTAGCCAGGTGTGGTAGTGTGCACCTGTAGTTCCAACCACTTGGAAGGCTGAGGCAGAAGGATTGTGGGAACCCAACAGATCAACTCTGGGGTGGCCATGAATAGGCCCCTGCACTCCAGCCTGGACAACAGAGTGAGACTCCAAATCAAAACAAACAAACAAAAAACAATTGTGAGATGTAGGTAACACTGTATTCAGAGGCAAATTCACAGGTATTTTCCAAGATTACACTGAGAAAAATGAAAACAAGTTAATCCTGCATTCAACTCAGTGCTAGAACGAATTTCAACAGCAACTAAACTAAAAACCCGAGGGAAGTAAAAATAAGGAAATAATTTAGAAAAAGTAGAAATCAGTAAATGAGAAAACAGGAAGAAGAGAACCAATGAAGAAGAGGGCTTTGGAAAAAGTAATTCTCCGGCACATTTAGTCTAGAAAAAAAGAAAGGCTTGAACTAAAAGTTTAGACAGGATATATACCTGATGGCACCTATACCAGGATGCTTCAATCACTCAGGGCCTTCAGCCCACTAGGAAGCTACCTGGAGACTGTCTGCAGCCAACCACCTCGGACGCCTGGTGGTGATCAGCAAGGAGGGGTCATAGAGAGCTTCCTGTCTCGGTGAATATGGCTAAGAAAACTGATAAAACTTGCTGAGCTCCTTTTTTTTTGGAGTCGCCTAGGCCAGAGTACAGTGGCACGCTCCCGGCCACCGCAGCCTCGACCTGCCAGGCTCAGGTGATCCTTCCGCCTCGCCCTTCCAAGCAACTGGAACTACAGGCATGCGCCACCACACCCGGCTGATTTTTTAATTTATTGCAGAGACGAGGTCTTGCCAAGTTGCGCAGGCGGGTCTCAAACCCCTGACCTCAAGCAGTCCTCTCGCCTCCGCCCCCAAAGTGCTGAGATGACAGACATGAGCCACCCACTCAGAGCTGTTACCCCAGGTGGTTGGCGGCGGGCTGGGCTGAAGGTAGGCCCTAGCCCAGCAGGCTGGCTCCAGCATGCCACTCGCAGGCGGGGGGTCCTCGGACGGTCCCAGGCGACTTTCCCCCTGCCTCAGTGGAGTAGCATGGTAGCTGCTCAGGTTCTTCACCCTCCCTGGCCCGGGCCCTTCCAGCGCTGCCCTTCCTGGCCACAAGGCTCTGGTGCCCTAGGGGCTGTCAGGTCTTTGGCGTGAGGGATGGGCACAGTCATATCCCCTTTCAGAAGTTTCCAAACGTGGGATCCTGGAGGTAGAAAGCGAAAACAAACCCATCCTGTTGATTGGTCGGGGTGCCAGCTTGCGTTTTCCCCGGTGGCTCCTGTATTGACTAGAAAGGAAAACTTGGAAGTTTCACAGGGCTGATTGCTTACTAGCGCTGGCAAAGCTTTGAAGCTTATTTGGCCTAAACAGTGTCTGTCTCTTTTCCAGTTGTGGTGACTTTAATGGAACAAAGCCTCCTTTCTTACCCACTCCTTGGCAGGCTCTTGGCTAAATCGTCCCTGCCCCAAGGCTTTTCTTTCTCCTTTTTCTTTTTTCCTTAACTGCCGTGGGCAGGTAGAAGGACTATGTGAAGGGCTGTGTGACTGTAGTCAGAACATCTGCAGAAGAGTCAGACCCTGAAGGTGAGAATTCCAGGATCTCTGTGTCAGGGACTTGGAGGGTCCTGGGGAGTGAGATGCGAGTATTTCAGAATTGACTCCAAAAATCAGAGAACCTACCCTAAGTCCCATAATCGTGGGCAGAGCTCAAATTATCCTAAGTCATCCTACAATTACCTCTAAGTAGAGAGCCGGCCACCCGCTGCAGCCAGTGCTTTCTTGTTCATGTGCAAGGACCCATCGGGCAAGGCTGATGAAACTCCCCGTAAACTCGCGTTTTCTAAAATCTACCTGGCTCATCCCTTGAAGTCAATGTGACCCTTAGCCCCAAGGCTGCCCAAGGTAGCATGTCAAGACGATGTACAGACCTGTCTCACATCCAAAAATAGCCATAAGAATCCTATGGCATGAAGCATTTACTTGAATAGCGCATAAAGAGAGACTTCCACCGCGATCAGATGGGGCCCGTCCTAGGAACGTGGAGATGGCTTTGTATCAGGAAGTCTATTCAGACGGCTCATCACATCAGTTTCCAAATGGCAAGGCTCCTCCTCTTGCAAGCACCCTCTGAAGGGCTGTGCTGGCACGGCCTCTGCCCTCTGGGGACACGGCCAGAGAAAACAGAGACACGGAAGCCATTCTGGTGGGCTCAGGCCCCAGGCAGGAGAGGCGGGGCTGGCACCTTCCCCATGAGGCCAGGGCAGCAGCGGGAGCAAGCAACCGTTCAGCTGAGACCTAGAGACAGGTCCTGGTGTGGGGACCAGGAGCAGCATAAGGATGTCGCCAGCTGGGGGGGACGGGCAGTGGGGCCGGGAATGGGTTCAGCAACTTGGCCTCGAAGAAGCTGGAAGGAGCAGATCACAAGGAGCAGAGCTCTGTGCCTCCCGCCGGGGAGTTCAGCTTGCCCAGGAGGGCAGTGGTGAGCAGGGTGACATGACCCGATTTGCATTTCCAACAAGACCCTTGGACACCCGTGTGCAGAACTGGTGGGCCGAGCAGTGGCTTGGGAGGCTGTCACCACCGTGAAAAGGAGGTGGCGGGCTGCGGCGCCGGATGGAGCGAGGAGGAAGAGGAGGCCAAGTTGCAAGCACGTGGGCGCTCGGCCGGCGAAGGCCGGTGAAGGTGGAGAGACACTGCTGGGCGGAGGATGCTGCTGG